GGCCTGGCATCCTCCGCTTTCTCTCCCTGAGTCTGCTCAGTCCTCCAGGAATGAAGTGTGATTTTTACACTTTACATCGCATTGCAATGATTTATATGTGGGTCCTGGCCTGTCACATGATGTCCTTTGACCTGCACAACATGATGTAAGTGTAAGAATCACACCCATTCTCATAGAACCGTAACACAGTGTTCACCACACCACCCACAAACTGGGGTACATGCCTTTTTATTTTATTTTTGGCAGCTCCCTGAATTACTTTTAGGTAGCTCTGCACGTTCCTGCTTTTCATTTAACGAGGTGCAAACACTCTGTATAAATAAAATAAAAAGCTCCCTGTGGCTAACAGACTGCTGCTGGCTGCCACACACTGAAAAATGTTTGTCTCCATTGCTGTTGCTTAATAATTCAAATTTTATAAACAAAGAAATCATTCTCTCTTTCCCTCCCTCTCACCCCTCTCATCTGGTTTTGGGGGTTAGAAGCTTGGATGTAGCGGCAAAAAAAACTTCAGCTGACAGTATACAGTACTATCAATGCATACAATAGTTGTACAGTACTACAGTGTTTTCTGAGTATCTCAGGCACACAGGTTCCGCATCCCTTAGGATCCATATGTCCACCAGTGCAGTGCTTGTATGTAAATACTGCATTGTTTGTTGGATATTTCAGTTCCTTTTACATAAGATTTGACATCCAAGGCCGGACACTTTTATATTATCTCATATCCTGTTTCTGGCATCAGCTGATACCGGAGGCTTCAGAAGGTAAAAATTTGTCACAATAACAATGTAATATTACTAAGTTATCTATTAAGATGCCCAGACAGGTTACAATCCAGCTCTTCCGGGCTTCTATTCCTCTGCTCTAACTACTAAAGACTACTATTTCTCAAATCTCCTCATTGGTGACCAAGTCTCTCCATCCAAGGACTAGAATCTTTCACAGACACTTGTTTTCAAAGGCATCTAGTTTTCTAGATAACATTTTAATAGATCTTCAGCTCTTGCTACCATATGTTAGCACTGAGATTACATTCCAGTTGAAAATTCTGTTGTTGTTGTTGTTGTGGGGGTTTTTTTGGTACTGTGTATCTTTCATTTCCATATGTTGTTGAGTTTAGTGGATGCTGTGGATGCCATTCCTATTCTTGATGTTACTTCTTTCTTGAGGTCTCCATTCACTAATACAGTGCTGACCAAGTAAATGAACTGTTTCAACCTTCTTGATGTTTTTGCCTTCTAACATGATGTTACTGCTTGATGTCTGGGTTTCAAGGATGTTTGTTTTGGCATAACTGATTTTGAGCCCTACTTGGTCTGCTGTTTTTGCCACGGTATCTGTAGCTTTTTTGGGGTGTCATTCAATAGCATAATATCATGAGCAAAGTCTAGGTCTTCTAGGCATTTGCCATCTACCCATGCTATGCTAGTCTTTGTGTTGTTCATACATTTCTTCATTATCCAGTCTGGGGATTTAAACCTAACTGGTTTAAATTATTTAGATGCAATATCTTTCCCCATATCATTACACTGACTGATTTTTAAATCAGTATAAAACTACCAGAAGCTTTATAATCCTATGGGCTCCTATAACAACTTCCAGCAAACTGCTTCAGATATGTATTGTCTTCCACCTAGAGGTTGAAATCTCTCAGAACCTGATGATGCTACTTGGTGGGCAAGACTGACCACTTGTGTCATGGATTCATGTCTTTCCTGGCTGGTTAAAGCTAATGAGAGGGCAGTATGCTGTAACTGCTGCTGCTGGAGATCATTACTGCTGCTTTTCAGGTCAGGGACCCACATGTACATATATGCGTACTGATTTTCCACTGACTTGCACCTTGTGCATTCGTTTACACGTATGCAAAGGTGACTGTGAAGTGGGTGTAAAACACAACTATTCTGGTCTAGTAGAATTTTATGCCCACTTTGCACATGTGTAAAGGACTACACAAAGTGCAAGGCAATGGAGAGTCAGAGCAGATGTGTGGCTCTTTCTTTAAAAAGTCTATTTTTGTTGTTAACTTTGGTGAACTATTGGCTACTCCCTTATCTTCCCTTTTTGGAAAAGGTTATTCAGAAGATGGTGATTGAACAGCTTCAGTCCCATCTGGAAACAATTAGATTTTCTGACACCTATCATTCTGGATTCAGATCATCCCACACCAGGAGAAAGACCTTAACATGATGGATCACCTTCTCCTAACAATGGACAAAGTAGTCTTTGCTACTAATGCTATATATAGGCTTCCAAGGGAGGTTGTGGAATCCTGTCATTGGAGGTTTTTAAGAACAAGTTATCAGACAAACACCTGTCAGGGGTGATCTAGATATATTTGGTCCTGCCTCAGCACAGGGGGCTGGACTTGATGACTTCTCGAGGTCCCTTCCAGCCCTACATTTCAAGAGAGAAAATCATAGGGTTTTGATATATAAAGGCTGCCCAATAAGGGGAAGAGAAGGGCTAGAAAGTACAAGTTCTGACATGCCCTAACACGGTGGCTTTTAACCTTTCCAGACTACTGTACCCTTTTCAGGAGGCTATGTCATATGTACCCCAAGTTTCACCTCACTTAAAAACTACTTGCTTACAAAATCAGACATAAAAATACAAAAGTGACACAGCACAGTATGACTGAAAAAATGCATATTTTCTCATTTTTATCTTATAATTATAAAATGAATCAACTGGAATATAAACATTGTACTTACTTTTCAGTGTATAGTATATAGAGCAGTATAAACAAGACATTTTATGTATAGAATTTTAGTTTGTACTGACTTTGCTTTTTATGTAGCCTGTTGTAAAACTAGGCAAATATCTTGATGAGTTGGTGTACCTCCTGGAAGACCTCTGCATACTCCCAAGTGTACATGTAACACTGGTTGAGAACCACTACCCTAACAGATGTGTGCTGGAGATAAAATGCCATGACAATAAAACAATATGCACGTGTTAGGACATAGTGAAGCCTAGTTTCTTGTTTCCTCCAGATGTGATATGACTCTTTGCTTTTCCCAGAGACAAGTCAGGGCCCTTTACCAATGAGACACCCTTAATATTATTATTACTAATAACAATACCTAGTTCTTATATATCACTTAAGCACTGTATATTTGCATGTAGCTATATATGTGAACCATTACTGTTGGTATACTCTTCTGGAATATTCAAAAGCTTAACAGCACACTTAAACAAGTAACACCTCAGTTCTGCAGGTCTGATGGACGATCCTCAATTTAGCATTTTAAAGGAGTAGGAAGCTCCTCTTTTGGAGGCAGGGGTCAGGAAGGAATTTTTCACTGATCTTGTTTTTACCCACCCCCAGACTGGCATGCTTGCTTTCCTTTGGCACAAAAAGATTTTAATCGTTTCATAGAATGTTTGTTAAGGACCTAAAGATTTTAAAATTAAAAATGTACAGGATACCATTTAATTACAATCTCATGCAGATATAAAATTTAATATTTTCTAATGCATTTTAAAAAAATTCCAGGCTGAGAAACTAGTCCTTAAGAAGGCATATATATATATATATATATATATACACACCCACACCCCTATGAAATAATTTAAATAGTTTATACCTGAACATTGGTGTTCTGTCTTCAGACAGACAGCCAAATCCTGCACACTGTAGTTTTGCATGTAGTTTGGGGCCAATCGGATTTTTTTTTTGCATGAGTAAGACTAGCAAAATATAGGCTCCTTTAGAGGGTTAACAAATAGCAAATATCAGGTTTGTTTTATTTCGGTAGCTACATCATTAGTAAAAGAATCAAATGAATAAATCCAAAGAACTCCAAAAAGTTATTTTCCCCTTGCTATCATGTTGTACATTAATATCTGTTATATTTAACACACATTTGCTGTAATAAATAATGTAATCAGATAATGATATTAGGCTAAGGACTGAATGGGCAGGAAACTGACCTAACTTCTAACCCCTAGTAGTGGTTGTCCTTCCAGGTTAGGTCTGAGACAGATTGGCAGGGCAATGTAGAGAAACTCCCTTCTATGTGTTTTCTGTGCATAAACAGAAGACTTCAAAGCTTTCAATCTAAAACCCTTTGCACGGATTAAATTCACACACACCAGAGAGAGAGAATGCGGAGGGAGAGCATTATGTATCTAGATTAATCAAATCCATTCTATTTAAGGTATTTCTAGGGCATCCAACACCGAAGCCTCCCTTGAAGATCACACATAAAGACTCTTGAGCTTGAGCCATTTCTACTAGACTGTAAAAATAACTTTCTGCAGGTTCAACACAGTAGCAACGTAGTCTGCACTGCAGCTAGGTATCAGCCCCCTTTCAATTACTACACTGGGGCGGGTGCAGAGGGAAGGCAGCGGCAGCCTTCGCTTGCAGTCTCCTCTCTCGATGGCTCTGCGTTTCTCCAGCAGGCTGGCCCGTTCCTGTCCAACCTCATATGTCTAGGGAGGGAAATCTTAAGAAGCCGGAAAAAAAAACCCATCCCCAAACGAGAAAATGAAAAACAACATTTCTGAGCTCCGCTCAGTTCCAACAGCAACACGAAACTATGTGCCGTTTATGTATTTCACGAAATGGCTCCTGGCACAACTCAGTCCCTTTCGGGCTGCATCCATTCCCGGGGGCTTGCTTTTAGTCTTATTCGGGCACGTGTTAGGGTGCGGGAGAATAAGGGACCGAGGAGTGCTGACAGTAAGGGACACAGAGCGCTGACAGAAGCCGCAATCTTCCCACACAAAGCTCTGTCAGTGGACTTCATTCCTGAGCGGCCCTAGCCCGTTAGTCTGGGCCCTGCATAGCTGGCTGATGTACTTCTATCTTGATCTGCAGCCCTCACCCCAACCTCCGCTCCAGACCTGGGATTCCACACCGCTCAGCCAATGCACCTGGCTCCTGACCTGCACTCGCCTCTCTGCTCTGCCCTTTCCGTCCTGGGTTCCCACACAATCTAGTCAGTTCACCTCAGCCTGACCTACAGCATCCCTCCTGCTAGTCCAGCCCTGGGAATCCACACCGTTCAGCCCATGCACTCAGCCCTGACAACTGCACCCCTTGCTATCCCAGATCTGGACCTCTTCTGAGCGGAGACTGCCAAACTACGTGGTGAGGAGTATGTGGTGCGCAGACCACACAATCTCCACACTTTCGAACCCAAATCTCCAGAGATGAAAGGCCCCTCCGTGAACTCACCACTTGCAGCACCACCCTCTATCTAACTCCCCTTCTTTCAGGCAGGGATTTCGCCTGCTTGATGCTTGCAGCTTCCCCCTTTCTCTCCCTCTGGGCTTTTACATTTCTTCCACTCTGACCCATTAGGTATTTACTGACAGCGCAATGTGACTTTTAACACCGGTTCTCCATGTGCACTGCCCTGCAGAATTGGGCCAGATAAAACCGCTTCCCAAACCCAGGGGCTGGACATTTTCCTCCCTCTCTACCCTCTCACTGTAGCAGCCAAGCGAAGGATTCCGCTTTCTTTCTCTCTTTCTTTTTCCATCCCTCCCTCCGTTAGTGCAAGACGCAAGATCCTGCCGAGGGAAAGTGCTCATTGAAATCATCACCACCACCGATCCTGCGCCTGAGGCTCAGAGGAAATAAAACCCCTTTATAGCCAACCTCCTGCGGCTGAGGACTTAATAGCATGGCAATGGCTCCAGGCTCTAAGAGATTCACACTCACCTTTATCCAGTACATGGGATCTGTCTGTTTCCTCCTCCAGATCGTCTCTGTTGAGGCTGATGGTGAGTTCAATGCAGTTCGGGCTGAGTTAGTATTAGTGGAATCAGATTTGTATGTTGTTATTGCAAAATAAAAATAAATAAACTTAAATATACGCCCCATTCCGGGTTAAGGAACGCCTGATTCGGAGTTTTTGAAACTCTATAAATATCCTGGGGTTAAACAGAGAAAAGAATTAAGATCTCATAAGGTTGAGATTATGTTATTAGAACAAAATTATGTGACTGGGAACTTGTCCAGGGGACATAATAATAAAAAGGCAGGATAAGAAGAAGAAGAAAAAGAATTAGTTAAATTTTACAGAGTTTCTCCCACAATCAGTATGTCTCCCCAAATATCGAACCTGACATCTCCTCGGTACAGGTCCCTCTGGTGTTTAAGCATCAGGTACCTGAAAAACAGGAAGACAAAAGTCAAAGACTTTTCCCAGTAACGTCTTCTCGCCGGTACTACACACGCTCAAGACATCTGCCAACGTTACTGCATGAGCGTAAATTTCTTCATTTCACTGCGAGGTGATTTCAGTGGAACATGAATTTGGCTGAAAGCACCAGCTACTAGCTACCATGAAATGATCCTTTTTGCTCTCTGACAATAATCTGAATGGACTGTATGCTTTTCCTTCCTAGAAGCCTGTACAGTTTTAACGATTTCACCTTAATTAATGGTGATCAAACTGCCTTAACAAGAACATGATTTATTTTAAAAACAACAGTCTGTTTTCCTGGGAGAGAGCATGCTGAATGGCCACGCTTGTTTCTTCATTCTCACAATCCGGGTAGAGTTATGCCTGATTTCAGTTTTTTAAGTACACTAACCTCATTCCGTTGATGTTTGCTATGTGATTACAGAAGATGGTAAGACAAACACTATTGAATAACAAGAATGTTTTCATTTTGCTCCGAGAATATTTCGTCTCAGTTTTTTGTCTTCGATTTTCATTTAATAATTGAAATAAGAGACGGAAGAAAAAAACGGAGACAAACTTTCCTTGCATCTGTATGTTTATTGCATGCTGTGTATAATAATGGTTTATGCAGCAGAATCCACTCATGAATTTGGTGACAATGAAACTGAGTTAAGAATGAAGACGAAGGAAAGGTCACATCCTTTCAAAGCACTGTAACTTGCAAAACTGCAATTCCAGTTTTAGTGAAGGATCCTCATATAGCAAAACTGCTTTGTGGGGAGAAAAAATACCTCACTATATTTGGAAACAGGGAGACAGAGAAAGGAATAATTATTTTGCTTGGTTAAGAAAGCTTTTCCTTAAGTATCAGTGGTAGCTATCCCAGAGACCTTACTGCATGTCTGGAATGACTGGCTTCTGGTTCCATCCTAAACTGACCTCCTCTGAGATAGCCAAGAGAAAAGGTGGGTGAGATAATATCTTGTATTGTACCAACTTTTGCTGGTGAGAGAGAGAGAAACAAGCTTAGGAAATTTTACACAGAGAGGAAAAAATGTTGTTGAACAGTATTTCAGTGACCATTTTTAGAGGCTTACTTAAGGGAGTTCATGATATATTTTAATGGGCATTCAGTAGTTTGTCACATTCATCATACACAGATATGGTAAAATAATTAAGAATTACAGGAAAGAAGATGTACAGTACAATATAAGTGCAAAGCATTATTATAAAATGATAAATAGTCTCCATTTTTATTTAACTTCTTCTAAGTGACATTCTGGAAAACTTGCTACTAGCTACCATGAAATGATCCTTTTTGCTCTCTGACAATAATCTGAACCTGTTGGTTCATTATTACCAAGCTATTCAATGTGTTTTCTTTATATAGTGATTTAAGCCAACTCCTGTAATGCTGAGAAATCACTTTTTGTGACGTTATGTCAGTATGTAGAATTGCCAGATTTAAACAGATCTGAGAGTATAAACCAGGAACAATATTTCCTTTCATAATAGATTCTGAACTGGCCTGAACAGGAAACCATCTTCTCATTTGTGAAAATTATAGATGAAAATTTAATTTTACAGACAATTTCTGCTCTGTAAGGTCTGGAGATGTGAGTGGTGAAATGACAAGGAACAATTCTGGATAATATATATATTTGTTACTTTTAACAAAAAAGAACAATGTTTTGCAAACTCCTGAGGGGATTTAGAGTATACTTGTAAAAACCTCATGAAACCAAGCTGGGCCTCTATATAGGCAAACCTCAGAAACTGGTTACAATATATTTCCCTAAGGGAGACTCTGGCTTTATTCTCTGACATGCAAGTAATGACATAGTGTAGACAATATAACTAGGGATCATACAAACCTGGTGGAGGTGTAAAGCCACAAGGATTATTTAATCTCTTTTGACTAATAGTTCACCACAATACACATGGACGTGGTGTAGCTAGAATCCATGAAGATGTAGGTAGTAGCTAAAATAAAATATAGTTTAGAATTGCTGTGTGACTTATATAAATTAAGGCTATGTCTACACTGGCAACTGAACAACAAAACTTTTGTCTTTCAGAGGTGTTAATCCCCCCGCCTCCCCACCCCCAGAAAGACAAAAAGTTTTGCTGACGACAAGCACCAGTGTGAACAGCTCTTTGTCGGCAGGAGAGCGACAAACAGCTACACTGTGTGCCTTTTAGCAACACGGCTATAGTGACACAGCCCTGTCGCTAAAAGCTGCGTAGTGTAGACATAGCTTAAATGTGTCTGCTAATGGCACCTGGACTGAGGTCAGTCAGATAGAAGCTTCCCTAAGACCCTGTTTCTCCTTTAATTTACACTGGTGTAAATCAGGAGTATTTTAACTCCATTAGAGTCAGTGGAATTACTACAGAATAAAACAAGGGTAAGTAGAGAACTAAGTCCTAAGGCTGTTCATGACAATCACAGGTAGATTCCAGATTTGTACATGGAGGGAATGTATAGTCACAAGGCTTTACATGGATAGCTTGAATTAGTACACTACGTGCACATCAAAATAAACTCTAACCCTCACCCTTGTAAAGATGGAGATTTTAGCTATGTCATTATGGTCATGACTGGCCTCAACTATACTAGTGTAAATGTGGAGTAACTGGAGTTTGCATTTACACTGGGTTAAATGAATCAGGCCCAGTAAAAGTTGTATAAGAATTTAAACTTTTACCCTCTGTTTTACCTTTTTCACAGCTGCCAAAATATCCATATATACCAACAGTAGTTTTCCATAGAACATTTGGTCAGATGAACAAAATGTTGTAACAGTGTGACAGTAATTAATCAGTATAATATAATATTGAAGTGAACACCAGTAGTTTACTTTTGGCAAAAGCTTGCAAAATTGCTCCAGCAAGAAGTAATTTTATTTTTTAGGTTTTGTGTTACATGCAAAACATTTTGCCTGCTCCACTAATTGGGTCAGTACATAGATTGCAAGTGGAAGAAATTCCAGGAATTCTGAATCCATAAAGTTAGACACAATTAGACACTGGCCTGAGCTACAAAATTCTGACCTCAAACCATATCTAATGTTTCTAAAATTAGGCTGTTGTGGGACTCAAATATGGGGTTTTGGTTCATTTCTCAAATACAATCAAGAGTATTCTCATCTCAATATGTGCTTACAAAAATGCCATTAACATTCACACACACACACAGAGTGCAGGCTAAACCCCCATTATTTCAAATGTGAGGTTTCTTCTTATGGAACCATCAGTAAACAAAAAAGTCAGAGGAACTAATGGACAGATGAAAAACTGATACATTTAAAAGAATAAGGGAAAAGTAATAAGAAGCAACTTCCTGTACTGAAAATGGATTAAGAAAGCTGTGACAAAGTCCCAGTTCCCTCCTGAGCACTTGGTTCCTGTTGCTTTTATGTATTTAGATGGAAGGGAAAATAATTTAAAAAATATGTAAAATAAAAAAAAAAACATATTATACTGATTCTTTACATTAAGGGTGTAAATCAAACCCAAGAGAATGAATGGGAATTTTCCTTTATCCTATTCTAGATGATTTGGTAGTCTCTTCTGGCCTCAAACTCTATGATTCTATTTTTGTTTTATTATCTCTAGGAATTTGTGCATGAGCAGCAGGTGAAAGCAATTCAGGTTTCCATTTACACAGCGCAGAAAATAAATTTGTCAGCTGCACCAATAAATAAATAAAAATCCAGCCCTTATTATGGTAAAACAGAAGGTAAAACTGAATTTACCTGAGTAAGGAGTGCAGAGTTGGTCTCCCACTTTGCTATTTCTCCGATTATGCAATATTTTAAGCAGTTTCAATTAAATAAGAAGCAATCGTTCCTTTTAGATCCTTACAGAAATAAACTCTCCATTCATGAACAAGCACAGCTGATAATTGCCAAAATCCTGCTGTCTGTAATTGAACACTCCACCCTTGCTATTACAGCCAAGGCCATTGCACTCTATAGCCATAGAAACAGCAATAAAATTGCTTTCTCACTACAGAATGGTATAATGACCCCACAAAATGTACCTCTCCCTATTTCCAAACGGTCACCACCTCTGGTTTGATGTGACTCGTCAGGTTATATAACTTCAGAGGACCAGCCTGCTGGCATCAGGTCATGGGGTCAGTAGACTAGGTGGGCATTTTTGGGGAGTCAGCAGGTCTGTGTTGGATGTGCACAGACTGGGGGTGGGATTGGAGGAATCCATACCATTGGCCTACTAGTTTTTGGAGATTAAGCAGGAAAGGGGCTGTATTATTGTTCAATGGAACTGCTCCATGGTTGGGAACCCCCTATAAAAATGAGCTGCAAATAGGGTGACCAGATGTCCCGATTTTATAGGGACAGTCCCGATTTTTGGGTCTTTTTCTTATATAGGCTCCTATTACCCCCCACCCCCATCCCGATTTTTCACATTTGCTGTCTGGTCACCCTAGCTGCAAACGATTTTTTGAACGCTAAGTTTATGGCTTTTCTTGCTTTGCTTTTCTCTAATGCATAAAGAAAGCCTGAAAAGTGTTGGTCAAAGAAACAGGGTTTTTTATTGTTGTTGTTGTTTTACTTTTGGCTTGCT